TCGTGTCGATGAAATAATGCTGGCGGTAAAACGTTTGTCGGCGAAATGATTGTGTTGGTGAAATAATCGTCGGTGAAGCGGTTGTCGGTGAAATGATCCTGTCGGTGAAGTGTTTGTCGGTAAAATAATGGTCGGTAAATCGTTTGTCGGTGAAATGAACCGGACCCCTCTAAATTATCGTGTCGTAATTAGAGAACTTTTATAGACATTTTTGGATCTAAATAATCCGAATGCAAAGTAATAGCGAAACTAACTTTACGTGTACTTCACGCATACCTCATGTCGATAACGATCATATCGCTCCAAGTGTCAACAGGGTTAAAAATACTACTGTAAAAAGCGGAAAATTTTGGAGCTAATCGATTTTTTTGCAGATAAAAATTTTGAGTAAATTATTCGAAAAATCATGATTTATTTGTAATGCCAATACATTGATAATCTGAAAACAATTTTTTAAAAGATAAGCCAACTGAAGAAGATAAAATCATTATCTGAAATGATAATGATTTATCTTCTAAAACTTTTTCTACAGAAGAAGAAGTAGATGAAACTATTTTACCTTCTCAAAAAAAAACTTTTCGTGTATTAAAAAAAAAGCAAAAGTAAAGACCAATAAAAAAGTATTCCAAAAAAAAATGGCTTAAAGAATTTTCATGGTTAAGATATGATTCTAAAGAAAAAAAATGCACTGTGTAATTATGTAGATTTCATAGCATTAATGTTCCTTTTGCTAAAGAAGGTAGGTTATTTTATTATTATATATATAAAATTATAGATGAGGGACGAAACCCCTTAATAACAGTCGAAACTTAGACGAAACTATATTAAAATCATAATAAGGGATACGACGAAACCCTTTCGATACGACGAAAGCCGAAACTGTCGAAACTATATTAAAAACATAGAAAAGAGTATGACGAAATTATTTTGAGGAGGTTTCGGCAGGAATCTATATATAAAATATAATGTTATGGATTTTTATTTTTTAAAAAAAATTTAAGAACCGGAAATTTTTTATAGTATCGGAAATTTTTCTGATAATTGTGAGGTAAGCTATTAAAATCACATTACGGATCATATGATTTACTATGTTCGTAACTCTATTTTAATAGCAAACCTCCCAATTTTTAAAAAAACCGATAAATGGAAAACTTATTGGCAAAATTTCTGGTATAAATAACGAGCATCAACAAAATAATAATGCACAACCGATGACTTCAAAATTTTCAGGCATCTTATTTATGTAAATCAAAAGAGCGGTAATATGGGTTAAACATTCATTCTATTATAGACCTTGACATGATCAAATCATTTGTGAAGAGACAACCTTTGAAGAAACTATTTCTCAATTAAGAAATAATGATTTGTATTCATCCAAGTCAAATAATTCATTTTTATTCTACTTTCAACAACCTAATGACAAAAGTATCTATCAAGTGGTATGTGAAATGATCTATATTTATAGCAATGAATCGAACAGCAACATGTGGAATTTTCTAATAGACATAAAGAAAATCTTGAATTTTACTTGAGACAATTTCTGGTTACTTTTTGGCACCAATGGTATTTACGGGCAAATTAAACATGAATACTGGACAAGAAAGGGATGTTGATAATGATGGTAGTAATTTTTAATACAAGTTTAGTTGATAAATGTTAGTGGCAATTATATGCGAGATAATAACTCGGAATAAATTTGAGTCGTTAAGATATTTCCTTTTATATATTTATTTCGTATAGTATTTAACGTTAAAGAGAGATAATTTTATTTATTTATTTTTATTTTGCTATTTATTAAATAAATTCAAATATTGTATTTTACAATTTTTTTTTATGGTTATCTTCATTTTAATTATTAAAGCGATATAGTGAATTAGTAGGCATATTTTTTTGAGTTATTAATATCTTGTATGATAACAGCTAACAAAATATTATTAATAAATTTATTTTTGCATCACGATAATTCGGTATTTATTAAAGCAATATGCGATCGAGCAGAGAAATTTTTTTTTTTTTTCTTAAAAGTTCTGTGTAACGTAGAATTGGATTTAAATCATATTCGTTACTTTTACTTGTAACTTTTATTTTGTAGAGTATTTCGTCATAAATAAATTCGATTGCGATGTTATATCGATATATTAAAATTTTGTTCAGTCATAAATTCAGTCACTTGTAAAATAGCATGTTTGTTTTCAGAATGTTGGTTATATTAATAAGCCGAAAAAATATTTATTTAATTATACATTATATTTAATAAAATCGAGTATACAAAAAAGACAAAATAAGAAATAAAGAACATTATACATTATTATAATTAAACGGGTGCGAACTATGTAATCAAATTAAT